CTAAACCCTAAACCCAAAGCCCCTTGCAGCTGTGCATGACCACCTGGGCAGCCGTTTCAGCCCGACGAATGAAACCAGCCCACGCAGACTGCTCCCCCTCCCAGAAGGGGGCAGAAGCCCGGTGTTGGTGTCGTCAGCAGGGTGTTTAGGGGTTTAGGGGTTTTGGGCTTAGGGTTTAGGGTTTAGGGTTTAGGAGAACCAGTAACCGGTCACCCAAGCCTGCAAATACATTGAATCCGACACTCGGAAACCCTCTGCCCTACGACCTAAACTCGAAACCCTACTGCCCGTTTTCGACTTCTACTAGCCTGGACCTAACCCCACGCCACCCCGAAACTTATCAAACCTCCTAAGCCCTGCACTACACGACGCCGCAAGTCCCGGTCAAGCAGTTAAAGTCGGAACCTGATGCGGCCCTATAAACCCCAAGAATAGGACAGACTCCTACCAAGAACCACGGGTTTCTTATAATCAGGCTCGTATATAATATTACATGGATATAAGGGTTTAGGGTTAAGGGTTTATAAGGGGTTGCTCCAACTACGGGTTCAGGTTTAAGTGTGCCGGAATCACGGCTCCAGCCGTTGGGGCATGCCGCATAGCTGCGTAAATATGGCTTAAACCTACCTCAAACGACCATAACCTACTGAACTGCATAATGTCTTGTCAGAAACTAAAACTGTGAATCCCTGGGCTCTTAGATCCCTCCCGAAACCCTGACACCCAGGGTTGGATCAGCGAAGCGTACCTCCATCCTCTTCGACGTGTCGTTCAAGACCGTGCCAAAGTCGATCTTCGCCGTATCCTCGGGACGAGAAGCTCGTGGCTTGGGTTTAGGGTTTAGGGTTTAGGGTTTAGGGTCGCCGTCACTTGGATTTTTGCTGGGGGAAGTTGGCACTTCGGGAAGTAACTCAGGGTTGAGGGTTAGAGTTCGAAGTCTTAAGTTCCTAGGCCCTTCATCTACACTCTTGTTAAACCCTAACTACCTACTATTTGGGGCCATATATACCCCTATTCAAGGGCACAAAGAGGGTTCTGGTGTTAAGGGCTGAAATCTTCAGGCTTACTTGGAGGATCATGGGACTTAGTAAGTATGGTTATAAGTCCCCCTAATTGGGATAATAAGTAAAGTTACCTTAGTTATGACCCTACTTACGAAGTCCCATGATCCTTTAACCCTAAACCCTAAACCCTGAACCCTGAAACCCTAGGCCTAAAGATAGGGTTTTAAGTAGACTCCGTAAGTAAGGTTATAAGTCCCATGATCCTTTAAGTACTCCAAGACTTCTAGAGCTCGAGAGTTTCAAAGCTTTCGGGCTCTGGGCGCCTTCGCGTGAATGGCTTGCGGGCTGAAGGGTTTAGGGTTCAGGGTT